GAGCTAAATCAAACCTTTCTTCCCACACATTTCTGTCCCTGAAAGCAACCCTCAAGTCTCACAACAAAGCTAGGAATACACATTCACAATGTTTTTCTTGCTTCTCTGCTCGCTCAACAGGTTAACACTCCACAGGCTGGGCTTTTAGTCTACTTTTTTTATTACGAAGTTCATCAACATTTTCTCTGTTTATCTGCTCCATACAAGGAAAGAAGCCCACAGAGGATAAGTGGGAACTCTTCCACAGCTACCTTACTGCTGAGCCAGCAAGGGTTGCTGGCACCATCTCTGTACTGAAAGTCAGTTCTCAAATGCTTTTCTCTAAACATGGAAAAAATACTTGGAAAGAAAAGCTCTTGAAGCATCTTCTACACTGAGGAAGCTAGTTTGAAGTGCTTTAAGAGACAGAAAAAAAGGGAACATTTCACATAAATGTTTCTTCTCAGAAGAACTCTACTTGCATCCATATTGTGTTGAATCAAAAACAAGCTCTAGGTACTGCAGTTTTAAATCACCACACCTAGACCTCCTTCTAGAGGGCATGTTGTTTTGTCTTGCAAACCCACCTCCAGTGCTGAATGCTTACAGGCAAAGTGAAAGATTACCTGCAGTTACAAGTTAGGAGTCAACTGTGGTTCAGGAAAGAGTAATAGAGATCTATTTACTTTTCTGCAGAGATCATAGAGCCGTAGGGTGCTTGTTTCCAATGAGAGAGAGATGAGACTAATGGGTGTGGAGAATGGGAAAAGGTGGTGTGCCAAATGCTTCACTTGTCACAATACTTAGCATCAATCTGGACTTTGTATTTGATGAGTAAAGAGAGGAAAAGGGGCAGGGGAAGAATGACAACCCACCTACTATCACTCGAAAAGGTGCACTAATTTTTCAGGGGTTTGCTTCACCAAACAAACTTCGTAACAAGCAAAACATTTATTTGAAAAACAAGATCTGTTCATGTATCAATTTAGTAATTTGAAGGACATGTGCAATAATCTCTATCTGCACTTTATATGCAAGCAGAAAAAAAAGGAAGAGATGCATTCCAGAAACAACGGTGCTTTGAAAGAATATGGGCACTGATCCAGAGTCCTTAAACCCAGACAGAGCAGTGAGGGAAGGGGGGGAAACACAAATGACCTCCTGGATGAGTAGAGAACATTATCCTGGATAAGTCCCTACCAGTCCCGACTCCAATTTCAGTCTGAGTCAAGTCCTAAATTTTCTTGGTTGAGACAGAGATGTTGCCTTGCCTCTGCCTGCAGTCTCTCCAGCTGGGCAAGGAGTAGAAGAGTACTCAACCCACAGGTACAGAAACCTGCAGAACCTTGCCAAAATTCTTCTTGTGAAGTTCAGATTAATTACCAGGCAAGCTTTGTACAAAGTTAAAATTCTAATGCATTTCAAGGCATTCAAGGTTATCTTTTATAGCTGCACTTTAAGAGGGAGCTCTTCAGGATAGTAACCTGGACATTCTGTTTCAGTGTAGTAACTCATGAGATTATAGCAGGTCATTATCTGCCTTTCTTCTACCACTTAGCCATGAATATGGTCTAAAAGGGTTATCTTCTTTTACTTGCACCATGATGATCTGGTAAGTACATGGTGACCTCTCACATTACCCAGATGAAACAACTACGAGTCAAATTGCTATGGCTGGCTGTGAGAGTCGGTATTTTGTTCTGTAACTTCAGTGTACATGAAGAAGAAAATTAGTTGGAACATTTTTCTCTAGAGGCATCCAGAAAAGCAAACAGTTAATCTGAATTTGTGTACTTGTTTTATGAAAAGTCTTATTAACAAATGCTTGTTATTCTGTGGCCATTTACACCCACAGTTTATTTCCCAATCTATATGGAATAGCTATGGGTCAAGTGTCCTACCGCACATGAGTCTTTAGCATATCCAGTTTCTTCCAAGTGGAAGTCAAGGTCTCCTTAACACTAAAGTTCAGTGTTTTCTCTCTTCCATGCAACTAAAGGCACTAGATTTTACTAAATAGGCACACACACCTCTTAGAAAGATAAGACGACACACTAGCGAAACAGTTTCAAGGTTTTCACAGGAAACTCATTTACTCTGGCATTTCACAAATCTTAAGAGCCAGATCCCATCTGAACGCAGAACAAAGCACCTGTACCGACAATGAGGAACCTTACTCAGCTGATGTATTGCAAAATATTCTCAATTCAGATTAAGCTTGAACTCATTCCCTGAGCATTTTTCTGGTTTTGAAGACTAGCAGTACTGCAATACTATTCTCTGGGGTGCTCAGGAGTGGGAGGTACTGCCAAAATCCGTTACATTACACACTGCAAACCCTTCAGCTACATTCCTGTGGGACCACCACCCCTACGGCTCCTCCAGACCTGCTTTCTGCAAACGCGATGAGCTGCATTTGAGAGCACTATGGTTGCCCTCCTTACTATAAGACATTTTGTTGGCCATTTGTCATAAGCCAAGAACCATCTCTGCTGGGTAGGGGTATGCAGAAAGACTGTCACTGGGTCCCAGTTCCACGTGGCCCAGGACTTGCAGGTACCACTGAGAGACACACCAGCAACAAGAACAGCCACGAAACACAGCACAGGCAGGCATACTGACTGCTGGGGCACACCTGTAGGCTTCCCATGTAAAATGCTTATTTTCTATAAAGAACAAAAATTAAAATAAGACAATTATTTCAACAGAACTTAAGAAAGAACTTTTGCAAAGAATGACAAGGTAACCTTCCTAAAAACAGTTATAGAAGGAAAAAAATTCACAACATTAATCTTTCTTCTGTTGCTTTCACATATCCCTACACCACTGTAAAAAAAGGTGTTGCAGGGTGCTAAGCATGTTTTGTATTTTAATATGGAATATACATGAGGGTTGACAGGCTGAATTAAACTAGAGACCTCTTTCATCAATGGTTTTTGGTTTGGTTTTAAGGATTTCACACCCATTAAAAGTCAGTCTTGATTCAAGTAATTAACAAAGGAGTGAGGAGGCAAGCAGATTGGCACAGAGGGACTATAAAAAACAATTTAAGTAAAACTGCTCCATCTGCCACACTTGCGCACACACACACACACACCATCCCCTCAAAAATCACTATGCAAGAACATCGCTTCAGTATAAATCCCTCTCTGTATATATATAAACTTCTACTCTACCAAGCAACTGGCTGCAAGACAGACTTGTTTTAAGGAGGAATCAGCCATGACTTTCTTACATAGCTCAAAGGAAGTTTTTGCAGGTCTGTGAGCACCACAAAAAGATACCAGAGCACAAAGTAAACTTGACATAAGACAATTCCCTGAGTAATTTAATCACCACATGTTGTGTTTTGTCATCAGCACTGTCGAGAACATACAAGACTTACCTGCTTAGTGCAGAAGTGACAGACCACCAGCACTTACAAAGAAAAATTTTAGGAAGTTTGTGGACAAACCATACTTGGCAAGCAGCCCTGATGATGTAAGCGAATGCAAAAGTATTGTAGAAGTTATTTTGGGGCCTCATCCCTCTAAATTCAGTGCCCAAAGGGCCAGTTCTGTACAAGCAGCTTCAAGATGTCTAGACAAGGTTAAGAAGATATCACTAGGGACAATTTTAACTCTTCCTTGGGAACTTTAGGAAGACAGTGTTTAAAAAAGTGGGGCAGAAGGAACATCTGTCTGAGAACAGATGTCACCACAGAAACCGCAGCAATGGAGAAGGAGAGGGAAATCATTTAAGAATCAGGAAACAGGGTAGATACCTTAAACATTCAAACAGTAGCAGCTACATATATGTAAGGAAGGACAAGCAAGTAGAAACATTTTGATGCTGTCTGCTCAACAGTGTTTACATTCATGTTTACTCACATTTTTCTGAATCATATGCCTCTGCTCTGATACACACTATTCCTACACAAAATCCTCAGAGGACGTTTGTACCAAAGAAGTAAGGTAATCCTCAGAGCAGTCACCCTCAATCATTTCTGTTACTACTCTTCCCAAAAACATGGCAAAAAAGCAGTTACAAATTTGAAATAAAAGGTATCAGGTGGACACAGCTCAACTGAGGGGGGCACAAGGTTTGGGAAGCGCAGAGGAAACGCCGATATGGACAGCGTACACCAGAAGGATAGACTGAAGCAAGGAGAGGTGGTATGTGCTGATATCTTACAGAAACCCAGTGGTTGGCAGCCTGGGCTGGACAGAACAGTGTCTCCAGTTTTCTCCAAAGCTAGGAAGCAATCAGATAGTACAAACAAAGAAGTAGATGCAAACGGAAAGTCAGATGAAGGCGGTAGACCAAACCTGCTCAGAGAACAGCGCTAGCAGAGTTTTATCCTCAAACCCTCCACCCTCCGATCTCCCTCAGGGAAGAGGATGACTTACCACTAAGTGAAACATGAAAACAACATTTTAAACACGTGCAAGGTAGAAAAGCAGTAAAGAAACAGACCTCTTCTCACAGTAGCCCATCTACTGCAAAAATTGAAACACTATTTATGGAGTGTAAACAGCAAGTATACAACATGCTGGTGAGAGCCAATAACCGTAACAAGCATGAGCAAACAATTTGCCATAATACTACCACTACAGAGGAGCACGGGGCGGGGGGGGGAACCAAAGAAAAAGTATCAGCATTACATTTCTGCTTTTGTAAAGGTTTTGGCCAAGAGTTTAAATATGAACTTGTATAAAGTTTACTGAACTCACACACCAGCAAGGTCCAAAACGGACGAGGTTTCAGTCAAAGAGAGTGACTGCATCAGGAAGTCAGCATTCACCAAAGAATCTATTTCCACATTTTTTATGGTTAACTCGGAGAGCAGAAATGAAGGCAGTTATCTGAATTGCTTAGAAGGCTCTATTGTTCCCTCTTCCAAAGGATTCTTCCCCAGAACAGAATGGGTGGTGTGTGCAAAGCAAGTGAAAGGTGGGGGAAGGGGAAAAGTCTTGTGGATAAAGAGAGTAGCAGAAACACAGTTTTAAGCACAGATATCAATTTTTAAAGTAACTTCCTACCTCCCACTGCAAGTGAGGCGGGATATTTCTGATCTGAAGCTTCCGACTCCTGCAGATAAATTAAAGAAAATAGTTTTAAAAAAAAAACAGAAAGAAAACATTATTGCAAGATAGACTATACATAGCAGTGTCCACATTTAAGCATCTGTCATACTAAAAGGGGTAAAACCAAATGCACAGCTCAAAAACCCCAACAGATCGCTGTGAGGGGAATGTCAGGTCAAAACTATTTCAAGTCCGAAGAGCTGTTACAGAAATACTTGTTACATATTTGACAGCTGCTACATTTCATGAAGTCTTCACTTTTCTCAAACACTATTTCTATTTCAGCTTTAAGGCCTTCAGTATCTCTCTCCGTTACAAATGGGTGCAATAATCCCATGTATTTGTACAGGGGTCCCCTCCGCACACTTTAAAAAAAAAAAAAAGAAAAATAAAAACTTTCTTAAAATTCACCAAGATGCTGTCATGATTCTATACCCCTTCAAGCAAGAGAGCATAGATTTAAATAAATACATTTGCCATGTTATTAAACTTCTCATTAGTGTAAAAACATACTATAGTCTAACATTTATGTGGCCGACATTCTCAATCTCCGACTGGGAGAAGGGGGTAAGAATCAGTAAATTCATTGTATTTGCACCCCAAATTTACATCAGATTTTTCTTATCTAGTAAACAAAACATCCACTTTGAAGTGTTATTGCAAAGCCTGGCAGTGTGCTGGCTGCCTTCACAGCCAAGTCCTTTGTCTCCTCCCTTCCCCCAAAGTCAGAGAACAAATAAATGCCAGAGATGCCACAAAACCCTTGGGATTTACAAGAATGTGTAGATTAAGGCAGTTGCAGCTGGGCTCAGGTAAGGCATGCTGGTTTGGTCAGCCTGGCTAGCCTGGGAAGAACAGGGAGAGGGAGCAGGGACATCACAGAGCAGTCTAGCTTAAAAGGTCTCAACTACATTTGGGTTCACCAAATCAGCTGAAATAAGTGTCTTGTGTTCAAACACAGTTTTTCTTAAGTGTTTTAATTGCCCAATACTGACCACTTGTAGAAATACGCTTCACATTTTAAGGACTTTTTATAACAGAATAGAAGTTTCTGAAACTTACACAGGTCAGTAAAATCTTGCAGCAAAACAAGTTTTAGATGTGTTTCCATCTAGCAATAGAATTGAAAGCTTTCTTTTTCCCCCTTCAAATCCTTTTAAAATACACTCCTGTCCTTATCACCACCCACCCAGGCCTGCAGTGGCATTTTACATCTTGAAATGCTCTTCTTGACAGGGCGTGTTTGGGGCACAGAAGGAGCTGATGGCACAAATCCACCTTGCCCAAACTTCTCCTCACGTGGAGGTGTCACCCCCAACACCACGGTAACCATGAGATCAAGCGATAAGCACGCTTCCTCCAGGAAAGACGAATAGGTCTCAGTCGTGCAGCATTTCTCAGCTGGTTTTGCTCCTACTCAAGCAAGAGCTGATTCCAGCATTTGATCATATAAATAGGTAAGGAAGGGACAACGAATACCCAAGCCACACACAACCTTGTTTAAGCTTTCATTTTCCAATAAAGCAAAGAAAGTGTCAGGGGCTGCTTCACTGTAATAGGAAGGGGGGGAAATTTCCTTGAAGCCTGCAAAGATTTCCATAAAGTAAATCTCAGCTAGTGATATTTCTACAAAACAATCCCTCTAAAGCAGTGATATACTGCTCTAAAATATCAAAATAATATCATACAGCAATCTGAAACTTGAAAGATGAGTCCTAAAGTAGAACGTAAAAAGGGATGTTCATTCAATATTAAAAATACTGGGAAATTTTAACGCAGAAAAATCCAAAACCACAAAATTGGCAGCCAAAATGCTATTCAATGTGCTTCAAACTACGTCATGCCATTAATCTCTCACACTTGTAGATTCAAATTAAAATTCATGGGAGTTTTGTAGCAAGGAGTGCCACTCACAAAAGGAGTCCCGCCAGCACACCACCAACAGGTCTCACACCCCAGCTCGGCAGCACACGCTCACGCTGAGCAGTGTGTGTCCGCTGGTGAGTAGAGGGGGGGAAAAGTCCTTTCCAGAAGCACACACACAAGTTTCACACACATACAACTGCCACCTCACGTTTCGTAAGGAAAACCTACAGATCTTCTCCTTTACTGCCCAACAACTGAAAGATGGACCAAAAAAGACAGCAACTGCCACATTTGCTCGACAATTAAGGACATAACACAACATTTGGAGGTTTTTTTCTTCCCGCATGACTTCAAGGGACTAAAAAGTTTGATGCCATTTATAACTTTTGCCAGCCAACATTTGTAGCACAGAACTAACTTGGACATCCTGAAAGGGAGGAGCAAGGAAGAAATGCCACCTTAAAATTAACAGTTCCTCTGCCACATTCATAAAGAGCCAAAGGAAATGGCAAGCCAACTACAAAACGGGTACAGTCCCTCTGTGCACCTCAATTTATGGCAATAGTGAGACACCTATTGTACAAAACTGAAAGATCACTTCAAAAACAGAAGAATAGCTATACAAACAATTTAATTTGAAGCTATTTACACCTTTATCAGTTGCTTGGCTGCAGTGTAAGTGATATTATCTCGGCACCCAATGCACAAGTTTGAAGTCTAGTGTTTATTGATGCATGTGAAAACTATTTTTTTTTACTTTATTGCTGTATCACAATTAGCAACAGGGAAAAAAAAAATTATGAATAAAGCTTTGCATGGCCAAAAGAGGAATTGCACAGAACCAGTGTAAGATAAAAGATCACCAGAACCTTCGAGACTTCTCCATTTCAGTTACTACCAGCTCCTATTGAAAAAAACCTAAATGT